ATTAAAACGAATTCTACTTGAAATGTCTAGTGTAGCATCCCCTTTCCTGTATATACCTTGACTAATCCTGTACCCTAGACTCCTTAGATATAAAATCTCTGTATTTAATTAAATCAAGGGAGGTATTTCATGTATGTTCTGCTAGAACTGAGAAAAAAGACAGAAAGAATGCAGATGGGCCTGGCTGGTACCTTCCACCAAAACCTCAAATCCTAGATAATAAAAAACACTCTCTGAAGATGGAGACTCCAGGAGGACCAACTGGGGCAGCCCAGCCTCACACATTTGTTTCCCTGGGTGGTTTATGTTATGCTTTGTAACACCGTGAGAATGCTGTGAGAAGAGTATTGCAACTCTGCTGACAGTAAGTAGTTACATTAGTTTCAGGCTGTAGGCTGCTAATGGCAAGAGTAAAATCTGAAATCCCACTGCCACTGAACATCCATGGGACTCCAGTGTGCAAAGTATATGCATAATGGTCAGCAGCTTAGGGTGTTCCCTGTTTTCTGCTGATATCAGTTTAAATAATTGCTAGTGTTGTGACTTACCCAGCAAGTTATGATGACTCTGCCTCCTACAGATGTAGATAGAAAAGAAGAAAGCTGGGTCAACTGAAGGTCACATCTGGAACCTGAAATTGTAAAAACAATAAACATCCACACAATTAATCTTGTCATAGGAAGACTTCCCTGAATGGGCAGGCAATACCGACCACAGTGGCTGTTCAATTCCCAGTGTTCTCATTCCTTACCTAGGAGGCAGAGCAACAGAAACCTCAGCAGCCGAGGGGGTCCCTCATGTCCATGCTGTGTCCTGATTAAAACTGAACCCTGCCCAGGGTATACCCTTTCTGATAGTAAGTCCTCAGAGAAGTGTGCTGTGTTCTGTGAAACATGCAAATAAGCTGCCAGAATGACATATCTCAATATCACTGCACAATCTAAATGTCTTGCAGGTGTCCATTGATTGATAATGCAGCAAATATTCACTTGTACAGAGTTCCTTTCTAACTGGGTGCAACAAAACAGAATTGTTTAGTGTCCTGTGAGTAGTGTGCTCTTTTGCTCTCTTTATGACTGATAACCTGCATTCTCTCTGGGTTTCATTTTAAGAATAGGCCTGTCAGAATAACGCTTACCAGAAATTGCAGGAAGTTTTTTGTTGTTGTTGTTTTGTTGTTGGTTTTTTTTGAGTTGGAGTCTCACTCTGTCACCCAGACTGGAGTGCAGTGGCCGCTCCCGGCCACCGCAGCCTCGACCTGCTGGGCTCCGGCGATCCTTCCGCCTCAGCCTTCCAAGTAGCTGAAATTACAGGCATGTGCTACCACGCCCGGCTGATTTTTCGATTTATTGTAGAGATGAGGTCTCGCTGCCCAGGCGGGTCTCAAACCCGCGGGCTCAGGCAATCCACTCACCTCAGCCTCCCAAAGGCACGGGATTACAGGCTGAGACACCAAGCCCGGCTTGCAGGAAGTTTTAAAAGCTTCTTGCATTTGATGCCAGTGGATATTATTGAGGCCAGAGAAAGTTCATTTTAAAGTCTGATATCCTGGAGATCTTGATATTGAAAACCATGTGATTAATAACCAGAGATTCACTGAGATATAAGTACAAAATTAGAGATGATACATAGATAAATAGATAGATAGATAGATGATAGATAAATTTTAAAAGAAGCAACAATTTAAAAAGTGAAAATTTAATACATGAAATAATTTTCTGCTTTGCAAAGAAGACTCCAGTCATTGGGTGTATTGCATTGCTAACGCATCATCCCCAGATATGAGCATGTCATCTTCCATTTCTGAATGTTCTTTCACTTCTTTCATCTAGGCCAACCAACTTCAGGGTGTGTGCTCTCTCCACATCTTAAAAGTCTCAGTTACTCTACAGCTTTGCATACATTACAAATTTCCACGTTAAATAATCCTTGAGTTTCTTGTATTAATATTTATGCCTTTCAACCCTCTTTACACTAGTTTTTCTACTTCAAAAGCTGAGGTGTTCTCTAGACAAGTTATCACCTCTGATCTTGCAATCATTCCTTTCCATAAACCTGCATATGCCCACGTCAGCAGTCTCTTTCCATTAAAAAAGACAGATCTTAATCAGTGGATTTAAGACATTTGATCCAAGCAGTTTTAGGAGGAAAACAATGCAAAAATGTAAAGGAGACCTAAGGTATTTCACAGGATACTGGAGCCCCCCACAGCATGAAAAGTTTCATCATTGTTGTGGGGTGGAAAGGAAATCAGACAGGGTATTGAAACTATAGTGGAAAGAGGAGGCTGTCCTCACATGTGAGTGCAGGGTGAAGAATATCCTCCTCGCACTAGTGCAGAAAGTCACAGCTGGAGCTGGATGAGCAGGGCATTCACATGGGTAGAAGTTGCTGGTACTAGTGTCAGACAACAGGCAGGCACTGATGTGAGAAAGGCACCCATGTAGGGCCAAAATTCATGGTAGGGTAGAAGGAATATCAGGGCTAATGTTGGTGTGTGGGACATGGGAGGAAAGTCATCTGCAATAAGAGTTTAGGTGCAAGGACAGCAGGAGATTGGTGTTACACAAATAGGTTGATTAAACAGATCAATGCACTGAGGACAATTTGAGCCAAGGTACTCTTAGTGTATATATATATACACTGCCTTCCAAGTAGCTGAAAGTATATATATATATATACACACTAGAATAAACTGTGGATTTGGATTTTATATGTATTAGTACAAATTCGTGGTATTATATAGCTACAGATGAAAATTGGATAATTTTCCTTAGAGGAAATTGTATAGAAGCCCTAATAAACACATTTGTAGCAGAGATTTTATTTTCTGAATACAATTTCTAAAACATATAATCCATAATCCTGTGTGAAAAGATGGGTTTCAGGTCTAAAATAAATGGAAAAAGAATATGAGCCTGAGCATAGCAACTAAGCAAGTGCTCAGAGAATAATGGGGTAAAAACAGCAGACATTAATAGCTGGCATGAATGGGGCTTCCACTGGAGAAATCTGGGGAATTTTGCATATAAAAATAATTATGATGGATAAATATCATAACTATTGAAGAAAATGTGATTCCATGGGTCCATGATTTAATTAGGAAAGAGATATTCATGAAGCATCAAAGGACTTCTCCACAGATTCGTATTACTTTCAAATAGAGGCAGAGTGAAGGTATATTGGAAGCATCTGGCAGACATCCCTTCACAAGAAATCAAACTGAACATCTTCATTTATGGGAAAGGTTAAAACCATGCACCACCCAATAGGATGCACTGAAAACCCAACATCCCATCTGGGTATCCCTACCAAAGAAACATTAGCAGAATTTAATCATGTTGAAAAATCAAGTGAATCTAAATTTAGAGACAGTCTAAATAACTAGCATGCGATCTTCAAGAGGCACAAAATTATTAAATCCAAAGAAAGAATGAAGAACTGCTCCAAATAGCAGGAAACCAAAGAGAGAGGGGCCACTAAAGGCAACACGGGAATCATTTTATTACTAAAGAAATTATTGGTACAGTTGTCAGAATATGAAATGGACACTGAAGACTTGATGAAATGGTATATGGATACTGAGACACTTATTCCACAGCTGCATTTGGTTTGTGCAGGACAATGTTTTAATTGTGGAAAATACATGTTTAAGTGTTAGCCAGTAGAGTTATGAGTTCATCCATTTACTTTCTTTTTTTTTTTGGAGTTGGAGTCTCACTCTGTCGCCCAGACTGGAGTGCAGTGGCTGCTCCCAGCCACCGCAGCCTCAACCTGCTGGGCCCCGGTGATCCTTCTGCCTCAGCCTTCCGAGTAGCCAGAATTACAGGCATGCGCTACCACACCCAGCTGATTTTTTGATTTATTGTAGAGATGAGGTCTCACTGCCCAGGTGGGTCTTGAACCCGCGTGCCCAGGCAACCCACTCACCTCAGCCTCCCAAAGGCGCGGGATTACAGGCTGAGCCACCGAGCCCGGCCATCAATTTACTTTCAAATGGTTTAGAAAAATAAATCAGTACACTGTACAATATTTGCAACCTTAATATTAGTGTGAAATTGCTTCAAATTTTAAAAATCATGGAAATGGCTGTTCATAACGAGACTCCCAATGTATTCTAAAGCAGCAGTCCTCAACCTTTTTGGCATCAGGGACTATTTTTGTGGAAAACAATTTTTCTGTGGAATGCTGGGTGAGGGCTGACTTTGGGATAATTCAAGTGCATAACATTTATTGTGTTCTTTATTTCAATTATCATTACATTGTAATATATAATAAAATAATTATACAACTCCATATACAAAAATAGGCACCGAGAGCAATGGTAAATAAAACAATGTGTTGGCTATGCAATAGACTAAAATATGTGTTGGATTCTAACTTGAAAGTTGACACCAGATGAAGTTGTACAGTTGACTTACAACTCAATTGCCACTTAATGAAAGGGAGTCATTCAATGAAGGACCCTCCCATAAGACTTGGAAATCAATAGTATGATTCAATATTCATTGACACTTTCAGACAATCATGTGGACTGAGGTGAGTGCTGAAGAGTTACCTGGAGAGGAATTGCCTCAGCTGAAAGCACACCTGGTTTCCCAGATTTTTTTTGAGGACTATACCATTAGATTGCCTATACCTTCAGGGACAGTTGCACTCAGTCTGCTAAAAGATTAGAGAATCCTCTGCCTCTAGTATCTATTTCCCTGAATGACATACCCAAGGATTTGAAAGCTGTGGTTTAAATTATAATTATCTGCATTGACAGAATTCCTGCTTGCGAAAAGAAAAAGAGTGGTTATGCCTTTGCTTTATGAATACCAATTATCCATTAATACAGACTCTTCAGATGGACTGACATTTTTTCTTTATGAAATCAGCAGAGACATAGTCATGTTAGTGCTGCTTTGGCAAAAGAACAGGAACATGAGAGAGTGCTAAGGAGCCTTCATGGTCCCCTCTCTCAAAAACTACCAGTGGTATTCAAAACCTGGCCAAGTTCAGGAAATATTCTCAGATGATCGAGACACCTCAGCATCAAAGGAGAAGCTGGTACAGCCCAGCCTCACACATCTGCTTCCCTGGGTGGTTTTTGTTATGACTTGTAACACTGTGGGAGGAGTACTGTCATACTGCTGACAGAAATAAGTTGCAATATCTTCAGGCTGAAGGCTGCTGATAGTGAGAGTGTAATCTGTCCCAGATCCACTGCCACTGAACCTTGATGGGACCCCAGATTGCAGACTCGAAGCATAATAGATCAGGGGCCTAGGAGGTTTCCCTGGTTGTTGCTGATACCATGCTAAATACTTCCTAATGTCCTGACTTGCCCGGCAAGTGATAGACACTCTTTCTCCCAGAGAAGCATACAGGGAGGACGGAGACTGGGTCATCTGGATGTCACAGCTGGCACCTAAGATTGAAAACAGAAAAACAAATATAAACACAATTAATCAAGTTATAAGAGGATTTGTCTGATTGGCCAGACCGTACTTCCAAACTGGATGAGTCAGTTCTCAGTGTTGTTCTTCCTTACCTGTGAGCCAAAGCAATAGGAGCCCCAGGAGCTGAGTGGGAGCCCTCATGTCCATGCTGTGTCCTGACTGGGACTGACTTCTGCACTGGGTGTGACCAGTCCATTAATAAGTCTTCAGAACAGGGGGCTGGTTTCTGTGGAACATGCAAATTAGCAGACTGGGAACAGCTGCAAGGCTGGCTCCTCTCAGTAATTCAGCAACAGGTGCAGTTTCCCCAGATGTTCCTGGTCAGAGCAGGGCAAACACAGATTTAATTGCAGAGAGGATTTCTCTACCTCTCCATTATCAAAAAATATAATTAGAGAACAATTTTTAAAATGTGAAATGTGCCTAATGATGGATAGAATAATGTATTTTAGAATTATAATGGGATTGTACAGGGGAGTTTCTTTGTTTGCATGGAATGCATAACTAATTCTTAGAGGAAGCTGTCAGTTTTCAAGTTACTCTGAAATGGATCAGGTGAGGGTAAAAATCCTTTGTGCTGTACTATTCACACTACTGTTTCCTTTTTTTTTAAATGGAGAAACAAAATACTCAGAAGCATGTTTATTATATTCATAAGTTGTTTGTAATGACCTTGAACCTCAGTTCTCACCAGTATAAGCTCAAGCAATTCAATGAAAATGCACAAAGACAACACAATGTTTTTTCAATTTGTGTCACTCACAGATCCACCATTATCCAGAGTTATAGTTCTCTTTATACCCAGGGAATATATGGACTTTACCTTATTCTTTCTTTGGAGACCCCATATACTGTCCCCTATTCTTCCATTGGGTATTATTTTTCATATATCATCAGCAGGAAGGGCTCACTAGTGATACTAGACCTGATTACTGAATAAAATTTTATTTCTTCCTTGAGCTTAGAAGCCTGAATTGGAATGAACTTAAAATTCTGAACCAATGCAGTACTTAGTGATCAATTGTCTCTAAAGAATGAAGACCAAGGACACATCCCTGGGTAATGCTCTGAGATGCACTCTCCACCAGCATGTTCCCAGGGTCTCAGGTGTGGCCTCCATGGAGCCTGGCTTTCCAGAGAGCAGATGAGTGGAAGACTCTGGAGATAGGCCCCATCAGTGAACCCTCTCCCCTATGTGTGGGCTGTTGCAGTTCACTGCACGTCCCTGCCACACACCATTAATTCCCCTTTCCTCTTTTACTCCTTAGCAGTGAATAAGGGGATAATTCTAACTAGAATTACATCTTCCCAACTATATCTCGAGGAGAAGAAGTCTCTATCTCATGACAAGCCATTGCCCAAGTATATGGAGAAATCTCTTGAATCTGGTTAAAATGTGGACACAGGTTTAAACTTCTATGCTTCAATCTCTGCCTTTGTCCGGGGCATCCCAGGCTGGTACAGGAGCAGGGGAAGTAGAAGCATCAGGGGATTGCAGACTGGGGTCTCTAGAGGAAATTACAGATGCACAACTCTGGGTGGCCACACCACAGGAATGCAGCCTGTTCACAAACATCCTCTGGCCTTCATGAGCCTAAATTTTAAAGAAATGTGTTTGCATCTTGCCTTCGATGATCCAGTTCCAGAAAGAGGCAGCTCTAGGTTGACACTCCATGTCTTTTTTTTCCGTATGGATGTGACCATTCAATCTGGATCTCCAGTCTGAACCTCTTTGTTGCAATTCTGCAGACTTCCCATGGTCCTTTCAACCCCTCACATCTCTCTCTCTCTCTCTGAAACCTGAAAGGCAGTTCTGCTTGAACATGTGGCAGAACACAGGGCCTGAAATGAGTGACTTCTATGACAGTCTTCAATTAGTGAGGACCGGAGAGATATATACATACCCTACCTTCCTCACTTCTCTGGTAGAAAAACAAGAGTTTTTTTTTCATGTGTCTACATGGGCTAGAGATCCAGTTGTCCTCACCAATAGCTTATTATTGATGGGCATTTTTTCACTATTCATCTCTCCCCATTCAAACTTTCATCCTTCACTTTTATGGTTTCTTGCAGCTTGTAAATACACTATCTGTGTGGGAATGCTTGAGGCAATCCCCGTCACTTACAATTTTGAATAAGGAGGATCATCATCAGAGATGAGTTAGGACGATGGAAAGTAATGCTGAAGTTATGGAAGAAGGTGCCAGCCCCATGAAGCCAGGCATGTGGGTTCATCTTGAAGACTGAAGAGCAAGAAATTGGATTCTTTCCCCTGGAACCTCCAGAAGTACAGCTCAACCAACTCCTTGATATTAACTCAGCATTCTCATCAACTGTAAGAAAATCAGTTTATGTTGTTTGAAATAAGATTAAGGTAACCTGTTACTGCATCAATATGAAACTAACACAGTGATAGAAAATGTCTTTTCCCTCCCTGAATGTGTGATTGTCCATTATTCTCCAAAACATTTCAATCATGATATCCTTTTGCTATCAATTTTTGCATGAGACAGAGAATATTTTACAGTGAAGAGAGATAGCATGTAAAAATTCTTCTTAGATGTAAAATCTCTTAATTAGCTCTTGTACAATCTGCATATCTGAAAGACTAAGGGGCTCAGAACATTTGGTGGGAGAGGTGTTTGTCTTTTTTCTTTCTTTCTTTGCTTGTTTCCTTATGTTAGGAAAGCAAATTTGATTTGCAAGGACACAAGGAGAGGAAAGAACAAAGTCAACAGATTTGAAGGGACAGAATTGGTAAAGATGGCTCTGGGCAATACAAGCCTTGCACTGTTATTGAATCTGAAATTAAGTCCTTTAACGTTTGTAAAGGCTTTGAGAGACCACTTTCAGTAGACTAAGATAAGAACATCCACAGATATCCAGTGGCTTGTCAGGAGATAGGAACTTCCTCTCCTCAAGATAGAGATAGGGAAGAGGAAATCTGGATTAGAATAATGTCCCTACTCACTGCCAAAGATTAAAAGCAAAAAGTTAAATTGATGGTGCAGGGAATTAATGATACAGAAGAGATTGAAGTGAAGATTAGAATCAGGGTGAGATGGGACAGAGAGAGCAGGAAGCTGTGAATTTCACACCATTCTGGTTTTGTCCCTTCTCCCATGTTATAAATCCTGGCCTCATCTGCAGGATAAAAATGGTGCCATGGAATGAATATATGTAAAATTAGTCAATCCTTGGTTCAAATCACAGCCTCAGACCTTGCTGATCATGTGACTTATGTCAAATCACCTAGGTACTCTGAAGAAGATGTTTTCATCTGTGAAATGGAGCACTGTGGATATCAAGGGGTGTCCTGTGGGTTTATCTTTATGATGTGTAGTAAAGTATAATTATCTTTTTTTGAGAATACACAAGAGCTCCATTTTTACATATTTGTATATTTTAAAATCTTGAAGAAGTTGGAAGATGTTGGAAGCCATATGTCATTTAAATCTAAAAGTCATAAATATTTATTCTACCACTAACATATGCCTCACTGTAGGCTATGAGTTTCATATATATTCTTCTATCATAAAAACTTGCATCACTTTATCTTCTGCATTACAAATGTAAACAATCTTAGTATATTTAACCTGAATTTTCCATGATCTACATTTGTGATAGATTTTTAGGGCTGTTGTGACAAATTACCAAAAATCATCTTTTTAAAAACAACATAAATATATTCTGTAACAGATCTGCAAAACAAAAGTAATCAGTTTCATTGAACAAACATCAGGATATCTATAGATCAGGCCCCTCCAAATGCTCCTGGGTATAGCCTGATCCTTTTCTCTCCCAGCTTCTGGTGGCTTCAGCTTTTCATGGTTTGTGGTCACATCAATTCAGTCTCTGTCTCTGTGGTCACATTGAGTTCTGCTGTACTGTCTGTATCAAATCTCTTTCTATCTATCTCTCAGGAGGACCCTTGTGATTGCATCTAGGCCTCACACAGCAGAAATTCAAAAAAAATATCACCTTCTTAAGATTCTTTTTACATTTGCAAAAACCTTTTTTTTTTTTTAATTTTCAAAGATGTGGGTTAAAATTCAGGATTAGGTATACATGTGATCATTGAACAGGTAAAGTCTGGGACTCCTTTTGGTCCCCATTTTACCTGGTTTGAGACTAGGTATGTTTACTGATGTTATGTGCCTCCCCCAAGTCAATCACTTTCTTATAGTATTATGGTAAATGTTCAGGATCCACTTATGAGTGAGATTATGTGGTACTCAGTCTTTGTCTCTGTGATAAATCAGTGAGTATTATAGACTCTAAATACATCCAAGTTGTTGCAAAGTCCATAATTTTGTTCCTCATTATGGCTGCATAATACTCCATCACATATTTTTATTTTAAAGATGTGTGTTATAACTTAGGGTGAGGTATACAAACGTTGATTATGCAGGTATGCTTTTTGATGATGTATGCTCTTCCCTCCCCTAGTAGTTTTCTTCAACTGCCAATCCCCCCCATAGAAGATTCCCACTACAGCCAATTCCTTTCTTAGAGTATTATGATAATTGTCCAAGGTTCACTTATGAGTGGTAATACATGGCACTCTATTCTTTGTTTCTGTGATATATCACTGAGTATGATAGACTCTAAATTCATCCAAGTTACTGTGAGGTTCATATATTTGTCCTTCTTTATGGCTGCATAATATTCCATTGTGTATATGTACCACAATTTTTTTATCCATTCTAGTTTCGATGAGCAGCATGGTTAGTTTCATGTTTTTGCTATTGTGAATAGAGCTGTAACAAACATAGGTATGCAGGTATATTTTTTCTAGAATGATTTGAATTTCTCTGGGTATATTTGCAGTAGGATAGTTGCTGGGTCATATGGAAGGTCAAATTCTAGTTCTTTCCGAAATCGCCACACTGTCTTTCAAAGAGGTTGTGTCAGTAGTGTAGAAGCATTCCTTTTTTTCTGCAATCTCGCCAGCATATGTTGTTTTTTGTTTTATGAATGATGGCCATTCTTACTGGGGTTAGGTAGCATCTCAATGTGGTTTTGGTTTGCATTTCTCTCATGATTAGTGAGGTTGAGCACTTTTACATGTGTCTGTTGGCAGCCCATATATCATCTTTGGAGAAGTGTCTATTCAAGTTTTTTGCCCACTTTTTAGGGGGTTGTTT